AAAAAAAAAAAAAAAAAAGGCCATATTTGGATAAGAATAAATAATTGAAAAAAACGAGAATATAAATACTCAATCCTTGAATCTCTTCAATATATCTTGAATGATCTTCCTTCCCCTGATTTTTGACTCCAAGGATCCCGGACCTCCTAAGAATTTCTATAATGTCTACTCCCAATAATTTAGTGTATAATGATATGGAATTTTCTCCTATGGCTTCCTGTTATGTGGTATGGAATCCCTCCTTTTTGACATAAAATTGCTCTTTATATAGCCCTTCATTGCCTTGAAAGTCGTGCATTTAAGAACATTGAAATTTCCTTTAAAAAAACCAAATCGTGATCTAATCAGCCCCTCACATGATGTGCGAACCCCTTTCATGTGACGAGATTGTACGCTCGTGTAAGTATAGAACTTTTCTCTAGTCTGATATAAAGTGAGGTCGCACTCTAGATACATGCTACCTACATGTGACCTTCAACAATTTATTTTGCCTAGACATGCTTCAGCTGATGTCACATGTCCTATTCAAGTGACCTCCAACAATTTATTTTGCCTAGACATGCTTCAGCTGATGTCACATGTCCAATGCATGCGACCTCAAGCCCTCAATTTCATGTTTTTACTTTATGATCTTCAAGTTTTATCCTTGCCCAAGTTGGTTCCTCAAATTTAAGTTTTGTCAATTTAAGTCGTTCTTTCAATATCTTCAAATTTGTTCCTTGAAGTTCTGAAAAAAGTTTAATTTAGCCTCAAAAGTTTTTATATCATATTTTGCCCCCACAAAATCTCCAAATGGAAAATTTGTCCTCTTAGCTCATGAAAAAAAAAAATTGTCTGATTAGTCCATTGTTAATCTCAAAATGAGCCCGAGCCATCCATGTGTCGAACCAAGATAAGACCAGCCCGCTAGCGGCTTGACCTGTTTTTCAACCCTATATTGCCCTAGCTTTTTCCATGCTGCTCCCAAAATCAATAGACAAGATTATGTAGTATAAATTCTGTTCAAGTATCAAATCTTTTTAAGTGTATCTTTCGTGAAAATCTCAAATGTCGCAACAAGTAATAAAAATTGATTGTAACTTTAGTACTAATCTCACAAGAACTATGTATCTAATATTGTTTTTTTTTTTAAATTAATTCAAACTTATATTTTTACTGTTTCAATTACTAATTGACTGGTTATTTTAACTACAAACTACTAAAAATAATTAAAGGTGATGGTTGGAATCAATCACGATTTCACTATAGTTTATCCAGTTTATTTTCTCCTCTTGATTTAATGACATCATTTTATTCGTTTTGACAATATGACGTATTTAAAATATTTGACAATTTTTTGCAAGTAAAATCAGATGTAATTGAAGAATTCCAAAACCGCACAAATAATAGGAGAATATAACTATCTCCTATTCGACTTGTGAGTTTTATCACTAGTGTTAAATTGATATTTTACATCTCAATTTCAACGTGAATTTACTAACAGTTCATAAACAGGCCAAATTTGTAAAAATAATCTAATCATCAAATAATCATAATTGAAGTCAAAACTCGAAAATTGAAATTAAAGAATCGAATTAGGCAACATTATTCGTCTTAACTATAAAGTTCAACATAACATATACATTGAATCACATAATATATTGCTATATAAGGAAGGAATAGATTATAATGAAATATTTTCATGAGTAGTGAAGTACACTACAATTGAAGTTGTGTTAGCTTTAGTGAATCACTTGGGATGGGACTTAGAGCAATTGGATGTCAAAACAACCTTTTTGCATGAAAATTTTGTGTTTGTTTATAAAAGATTATTGAAGTGAAATATTCTTCGGAAGAATGTGTGGCTAAAAATGTTTATTAAAATGCTATCTAACTTCTTTATTTGTTGCAGGTACAAGGAAAAATGAAGCTCGAGGAAAATATGGTCTCTTCTTTGCAGTTGCACTGTAGGGGTTCTTAAATCAAGGTGAAGAATGTTGACTATTAAAAGGTGATTAAAGAACCAGTTCAACCCTTATGATTTATAGAAGTTCGACTTTAGCATTGATGGAGAATACGCGCTTTTATACCAGAAGGATTGAGATCCACCATTTATTTGCAAGATTTGATCCCAGTTTTCCATTGTAGATATTAAAGGAAGGCTCCACTTCTAGGGTTCAACCACTGTTCATCTTCATCATTTGGAATGATTGCACCTAAACTCTCTAGTGATATAGATTTAGGGAGGATATCTAACATTACCTTGGTGATAATTTGTAGCTGTAAGTTTGTAACCCTGATTCTTGGTGATTAGTGAATGAGTAATGCTATTTTTCCCAATGAGAATTATCACAATTTGCCTTATCATTTCATAGCACATCACTTTTCATATAGACAAGTATCATAACACTTGTCATATAGACCAGTGATTATCTTAAGTGGGGATAAATAGCATTATACTTAGTCCAAAAAGGGGACTTTAAAAGGAGATGTAAGTAAAGGTTGGCTGAACTCCTCGTCCTTAATAGCGAACTAATTTTGATGTTATTCACTCTTCTTACATGCCATTTATTTTTCTATTGTGCGTGTATAAATCTCTAATACATTGCAAGCGTGCTTTGAAATGATGTACAAATATTCTCTTGTGTTCGCTAAAAAGTGTAAACCACAAGTGCATGGGTACGTTAAAGTAATAGAGTGAACTTATAAGTCCGAATTGTCATCCCTCGAAGAGTTTTTCTTTTAATTATAAAATAGTTGACTGTGACACTAATGATAAAACACACAATTTGAATATTTTTAATGGGGAAGTGAAAAGAAAATAATTGCAAAGATCAATTAAACTAGCAATTATGAAAGAAATAGAAATTTTGGATGATTTATGAGTTGGGAGTCATAATTCCACTTCACCATCACTTAATTCTTTCTCAACATGCAAATTAATAAATTACTCATTTAATATGTTAGACCGGATTTTCTTATTTTAACTAATTACCTCTCGAGTGAAATTATCCTGATCGACTGGTTTAACATACTATGTATCTATACGATTAAAACACAATCAGTAACACTCGATACTTGTGAGAGCTCAAATGATCACCTAGAATTAGGAGTATATAGATCTGTCTATTACAAGAACATAGAGTTTTTACCATTTTGGTCTAAAATACACAATAATTTCTCAATAATTGTACAAATCACTTAACATAATTATTTAGTGGCACATAAATGAAAATTCAATAATAACAATAGTAAAAACACAAGAACATTAGTATTAATACATTAATAAGCAAGGATTAAAATTAATATAGCTAGGTCGAGCTTCCTCATTCATCCCAACGTCAAAAGATTTAACTCATAAAAAATGATACAAAATAAAAAGATAAGGAACCTCATTACAAAATGAAGAAAATAAGGGAAGAATACAAGATAATAGGCTAAACCCGTCCCTTAGGTAGATTTTTGAAAAAATGAAAAAATTGAGTGATGAAACCTTATTCTTCATTCAAATCCCTCATTTTTTGCTTGGTTTTCCTTTCTTTCTTGTGCATCTATTCTCCCTCGAGTGTAAATGAGATGTGCGTAAAGAGTCACGTTTTTTTTGTTTTTTTTTATGCCCTAATTTGGCAGAAAATCAGTATTTAAATGGCTGAAAACCATCCCCAGCAATTTGCAACAAAATTCCCCAAAGAAAAATGAAAAAAACTAGAAAAGTTCCTTCCAACCAGAAGTTGGGAGTGTGCCTCGGCATTGGACAAGTGCTCGCCTATAGAGAACTTCCTATTCTCAGTAAATTCCATAGGCTCGCAGGTGCACGCCTAGTTTTGAGCCGAGAGCACGCCCGACTCTTTTTTTCTCTTCTGCAATTCAGTCCCCAATCCAAAATGACCAGGAATCTGGAGAATTTATTGAACATTCATTGGCCGACCAGTTGGGGGATGAATCGGGGCAGATTGAGGCCAGTTTTCAGAAGGTCGTTAGCAAGAAAAAACGGGCACTTGGGGGAAAAAAATCTGCCCATGTTGGGGCATCAAAGAATGGGGCAGATTCATCTTTTATTCCCTCTCCGACAGATTCTAGCAAAGTAAATAATGAAAAGCTCAAGGGCAAGGTCGATGAGCAAAGTAAACCAGTTTTGATTGTTGCCAAGAAGAGGGGTCCCTCCCTTGCTTCTTCATCATGAAGATAGCATCTTGGAACATTAGGGGTATGAATCGACCCCTCAAACAAAATGGGATTCGGGAGTTCCTTAAGCTCCATTGTATTGATATCATGGCTATCTTGGAAACGAAGTTGGAGGAGCGAAAGTTGATGAGGATTTTGAGAAACAAGTTCATTGGCTTTTGGCATGCAAATAACTTTGCTACTCACAAAGGTGGACGTATTTTGATTTTGTGGAATCCATCCAAAGTCATTTTGGATGTGATGGAGGTTCATCCACAAATCATTCATTGTAAAGCTATTTGCAAGGTAACTTCCTTCACCTTCCTTGTTAGTTTTGTTTATGGCTTCCACACTATGGTTTGTAGAAGGCCTCTTTGGGAAAACATCATGGACTTCAACACAAATGTTGCATTGCCTTGGATGATTTTGGGGGACTTCAACAACGTCCTTAAATTTGATGAGAAAAGTAACGGGGCGGATGTCAACCCTTATGAAATCAAAGATCTTGCAAATTGTTGCCTTCAAGTGGGACTAACGGATGTACGGTCTATTGGTTGCTTCCTCACATGGACCAATGGCTCGGTTTGGAGCAAAATTGATAGGGCTATGATCAATGATATTTGGGTGCAAAATGGCCCACATATTGGTGCAAATTTTCTTCCCTCCGGTTATCTTTCCGATCATTCACTTTGTATTGTTTCCGTTGATGATTGTGTTGGTAGCGGTAAGAAGCCTTTCAAGTTTTTTAACATATGGACTATGCATGAAGATTTCCTTGATATTGTGCAATCTTCTTGGCGTGTTAATGTACGGGGGACTAAACAATTTGTTCTTTGCAAGAAGTTGAGGAAACTTAAGGTTGCTCTCAAGGAGCTAAATTCTAAACACTTTGGTCGCATTTCCACGAGGGCCAATGAGGCCAAAAGTGAATTGGAGGCTGCCCAAATTCAACTTGAAAATCAGCCCCGAAATCTGGAATTTCAGGTTTTGGTTAAAAGTTTGAGGAAGAAATCTCTTGAGTTGTGTGAAGCCGAGAGGAGCTTTTATTATCAAAAGGCTAAATGCATCTTCCTTAAGCAAAGTGATAAATGTACAAAGTTCTTTCATTCCATTGTCAAAAGAAACTCTCGAAAGGAATTTTATTGCTACAATTATTAAAGAGGATGGGGAGTCTTCTACTTCTCAACACCAAGTTGCTTCGGAATTTGTAAAATTCTATACTTCTTTGCTTAGAGTTTATTGCCCTTTTCGGCCAATTCAAAGGGAGATCATCACTAATGATCCATTAGTCTCATTGGAACAAGGTAACTCTTTGATCCGGGAGATTACCTATGATGAAGTTAAAGAAGCACTTTTTGATATCGGAGATGATAAATCTCCAGGTCCGGATGGTTACACTTCTTGTTTTTTCAAGAATGCGTGGGGGATTATTTGTGATGAGTTTGTGGGTGCAATCTTGGAGTTTTTCTCTTTGGGTTCTATGCTTAAACAACTCAACCATTCCGTTATTGCTTTGGTGCCTAAGTCGGATCATGCTTTGCATGTTGGGGATTTTAGACCTATTTCTTGTTGTAATGTGATCTATAAAGTGACCACCAAAATTCTTGCATCTAGATTGAGGCTTATATTGGGGGATATTGTTGACCAAGCACAAGCCGCCTTCATCGAAGGTAGAAGCATGACGAAAAATATTCATCTTGCTCAAGAGCTTATGAGGCAATACAATAGGAAGAGAGTTGCTCCGAGATGCCTCCTTAAAATTGATATTAGCAAAGCTTTTGACTCGGTTAGTTGGGACTTTCTCAAAAGTGTTCTTGAAGGGTTGAATTTTCCTTTGAGATTTGTTCAATGGATTATGGAGTGTGTTACCACTCCGACATATTCGGTTGCTTTGAATGGAAGTATGCATGGTTTCTTCAAAGGCGGGAAAGGCCTTCGGCAAGGTGATCCACTCTCCCCTTTCTTGTTCGTGATTTGTCTTGAATATTTTTCTAGAATGATCAAGGATGCTACAAATGATAGTGATTTTAATTATCACCCAAAATGTGGTCCCCTTAAGATAACCCACTTGACTTTTGCAGATGACTTGATGCTTTTTGCAAGGGGTGATGCTATGTCCGTTGAAATTCTATGCAATTGCCTTTACAAATTTGGTTTAGCATCGAGTTTGAAGATCAAGACCACGAAATCCAGCATCTACACAGCTGGAATTTTCGGGTATGAGCTCCAAAATATTATGGAAGTCTCAAAATTTTCCAAAGGATCTATGCCTTTTCGTTACTTGGGTATTCCCCTTGCATCGGAGAAGCTCAAAGTGAGTTCTTATGCACCGTTTCTTGAAAAAATTGCTGGTTATATTGGTGCTTGGAGTTGTGCATCTTTATCCTATGCCGGGAAGATGGAACTCATTAGGGCGGTGCTTCAAGGAGTTGAATGTTTTTGGCTTTCTATCTTCCCCATTCCGGCTACAATTATTTCTAGAATTGTTAGCCTTTGTCGGAACTTCCTTTGGGGATCAAAGAAGCCATTGGTTGCATGGAAGAATCTATGCCTTCCGAAAGCGGAAGGGGGCCTTGGTTGAAAGACTTGAAGACTTGGAATTTAGCGCTACTTGCTAAATCCATTTGGAACATTCAAAACAAGAAGGATACCCTATGGATTAGATGGGTGAATCAAGTTTATCTTAAGGGGACTTGCATTTGGGAGGTTAGCCCTAAAAAGGATCACTCCCCACTCTTCAAGAAACTGCTGGAAATTAGGGATGTTTTGGCTCAATCCGGGGCTGCTGGACATCACCAACAGGTCCCGACGGTTGGGCGCAATAACGGGGGAATTTCTCTACCTTATTCTGATGATTTTGAGCATAATTTGCTGGGTAATGTGCCTCAACACTTGGGGCGAAATCTGCAGATTCTGGGCAGTTTTGTGCACAGGCAGACAGCTTCAGTCAGTAGGCAGTTTTCTGATTTTTTGAACGAAAATCTGGGCTGTTTGGGAATGGATAAATTTAGGACAAAATTTGCTTATGACTTCTTCAGGCCTAAAGGTTCTTTCAAAACTTGGGGAGCTGAAATATGGAAGCCGTGTATCACCCCGAAGCACTCTTTCTTGCTTTGGTTAGGAGTTCAATCTAAACTCTTAACTAAGGATAAGTTGCACTTCTTGGACATTGATATGAATTGTGTTTTTTGTGCTCATTCGGAGGAGACTTGTGAGCATCTTTTCTTTAAATGTTCTTTCACTTCTTCATTATGGGGGAATGTTAGGCGTTAGCTTTGCATTAGGAGATCTATGTCAACTATTGCTAGTGCTTTAAAATGGTTGAAAAAGGAGGCTCGTGGAACATCATGGCAAAGTAAAGTGAAGAGGATTGCTCTTGCCACTACGGTTTACTATATTTGGTTCACACGGAATAGGAAGATTTTTGAAGATCTCAAACCCGACTTGGATAGCATTGTGAGACGGATCAAAACACACGTATACAAGTTTATGTTCACCTCGTATCCGGATGTCTTGATCCATTTCGAGTCTTTAGCATTGGGACATTGAGTTTTTATGTACTTCACTTGATTGTATCTCCTGGGTATGCTCGGAATATTTCGTTTTTATTTGTCCCTTACGTTTGCCCGGGTATGCCCGGAGTAGTTGTTTATGTTTATGGACATTGATTCGCCCGGGTATGCCCGGTGTACTTGTATTTGATTTTGGACATTGTCTCGCTCGGGTATGCCCGGTGTATTTGTACATGGTACATTTTTTATCTATATATTTACATTTACCGATCAAAAAAATGTTACACGCCTAATCTCTCAACTTTGATCTTTTATAATTTGTTCCTCTAGTTTTGACTTTTATATCAAATTTTCCCTCGATAAATTTGCATCTAAGTTCCTTCATCTTTTGGCACTTGTGCGCTTTCGTCCCCAAACTCACAATTTTTTACCTTTGGCTTCATTCTCCTTCAATTGGATTTTTTTCCCTACAAAAAACCATTTACACAATTGTGAGTTTAAATCTGCTCATTTAATCAATAATAAGCTAATTTTAAGTGTCAAATCTACAATATATTTAAAGTGTGGATTGAGGAGAAACTTTTGAATACCAATTTTCAGAGCCGGCCCTGACCCAAGGCAAACAAGGCCTAAGGCCTCATCATTTTGTAGGGCCTCATGAAAAAAAGCTAAAAACCAGCCCCAATACCAACCAAATCCATTTTGAAAAACTAGTTATTTTCCTTAGGGTTAGAGGAAGTGGAGAAGATGGTAAAGAAATTGAGAGGTGGTCAATTGTTGTATTTTTTGTCACCAAAAAACCAGCGTGTGATATCTAGTTATTAGACTTCAATTGCCGTATTTTTGGTCGACAAAAAAAAGGCCAGAATTAATGGCTATTCTCGACTATCTGTAGCGGTGGCGAATGGCTGGTATTTCAAGAAATTTCTGCCAATTTATCAAGATGTAATTGTAATTTTTTCTCCTAATTGTGTAATTTATACAGATGTTAATGTGAAATAATTAGTATTTTTAATTTTCCCCTGATTTATACTTATTTGTCAATTTGTTCCTTTTTTTAACAGGTTTGTTAAAGAGTGTAAAGTTCACTAATATATTATTATAAATAATATTCTGAGGCAGATTCTTTTTATTTTAACTTAAAAATAACGGTCATTTGATTTCAAGTAGTAAAATATTGATTGAAAACTGTCTCATTTATTTGTTTCAAAGTAGTAAAATCCCATTTATTTTACTACCTGTTGGTTCTTTTTTATCTAGCTATACAAATTGCAAGATAGGAAAGAGATTCTTTTTATTATGCTGAATGAGGGTTTTTTTTAATCCTTTTTTAATATTATTATGTGTTGAAAATTTGCTGGTGACCAATTTTCTTCTTGTTTCCTTTGCTTTAGAGAAACAAATAATTTTTCCAAAAGGGGGAAAAAAAAAAAAGATAGATGACTTTGTAAAAGGATTTGTGTTTATGGCAAAGTCCAGTCCCATGGAAGTGACAAAGCAGCTGTTAAAAAGATTTGTGCCTAGCAAGAATTCTTATATTTCTACTCATCTACTAGTAATTTCAATTGTTATACTCAATCTCACGCAATATGTAGATCAACAACATTTTATGTTCTTTCTTTTCTTTTTTTTTTCATATTTGGATTTGTCTGTAGAAATGGACTTACAGTATCATTTCTAAGCATTTTAAATATCATTTATGTAATTTAAGCATTGCTATTTTTGTTAAAATTAAAAAAAAAAACTTATGTTTAAGGGCCTCATAATATTAATCACCTAGGGCCATATAATTCTGGGGGCCGGCCCTGCCAATTTTATTCTTACATATTTAGTTATATGTCAATTCTATCCTTGTATATTTAATATAGTACCATTTAATATAATTTAAATTCATTTAATATCCTTTAAGTGTAATGCAATTAATTAAATTAAAAAATATTTTTTAATTTCTATAAATGGTTATTTAAGGCCATCATTTGAGTTCCTTAAACAATACTCATTCTTCAATTTCATGTTTAATAAATTGAATTAATGCTCTTAATAAAAATCGCTTATATTTTTAGCTAAATGCCAATTTTACCCTTAAATATTTAATATAGTATCATTTAATTAATATAATTTAACTTCATTTAATATCCATTAAGTGTAATGCTTATTGTTTTATATTGGAGTAGTTTGACATTAATCAAATTAAGTTTAATTACTTACATTGTTTAAATTAAGTTTACCACTTAACATCTAAGCTCATATATATAGATGTAATTTTATTATAATTATATAATGAAATATATTAAAGGTTGCATTAATATAATGGTAGAATAATTATCATATAAAATAATATTTATTATATTTTTATTATGATATGTAGACGAGCTTTGATTTTAAGTGATTAAACTTAATTTAGTTAACCCAAAATTATGAGTACTCCAATATGAAAAATGAGCTCTCAATTTAAAAGGAGACTACATGAAATCAAATTTTAATTAATATATCATTAATGCCACTTTTAATATATTAAAATGTTATTATTTACGTACATGTATATATATTATATTATTTATTATTTATATATGTGAGATTCACTTAAAATTAACGTTCATCTACTTATATAATTATATTATAATTACAATATATATAAAAACAAAATATGAGATAGATGATAAATGTTCAATTTATCATTTTGTTCTTATATAATGTTGTCAATATTTTCATTCAAAAATTATAAATTTCATGTTTAATTAATTAATAATTGATAATATAACTATTTAAATACAAATGACGATAAATTGAAAAGAAAAAAAATGCTTAAATGTGATCAATAGTTAGGAGAGAAATAATCAATTATGGGAGAAATTATCCATCAATCTTAATTAGAAGTCACTTAACTTCCCATATTTATATCCACACGCTAAATACAAGCTTTGCATTTCAATTACGCATTTTCACTAAATCCAATCTTTTAAGTATTAATAAAAATTGATATTACGTGTTCTAAAAATAATTAATATAGTATTGGGTATTTATTATGCATGTTCATTTTATTTATTATATATAAATACATAAAGAAAAGAAAAAGATTTTTATCTGAGTACATTTAAATGAAGAATTTTTATTCCTCCATTTGTATTAATCCCATTCAAAAGAAAAGGAAAACTTTTGTTTAAGATTTTTCACTTCGATATCTATTTTGAATATAACATTGGCTTCTAATTTAAAATAAATGCTATGGATTAATATGACGAGCATGATTAATATATAATTTTTTTTTTCTAAATATGTTTAGATAACATAATTTTTGGTTTTTAGTTTTTAGGTAAAAAAGTTTATGGTACAGACAAAATGAGTAATTTTTTAAATTTGAAAATTATTTACGTACCTTTAGTTTACTTATACGTAAACATTTTAAACTTAATCAAATGTACATCTTTTAATTTGATTTTTCTTCGTGTCTATTTGTACTATAAAATTAGTCGATGTCACTGTAATAATTGAAAATAGGGTCTAGCATAAACAAATCATTACATTTCAATTTATTCAACGTTTTCACTTCATGTACGTAATTTTCATAAAACTTTTATTTATACATATATTTTTTAGCATTTTTTATTTTTTCTTTTAACATTAACAATTGCCTTACTTTAAAAATATTACGCATATAATTCATTCCGCATATAAGACGTGCAACGCACGTGCTTACTACTAGTAAATATATAAAAATACACTTATAAAACACCTCCAAGACTTAATATCTTACTCATTCCAAGCAAGATTATCAACTATTACAATCAAGCAATCAGGGAACAAACATAAAAAAAATATTAGATAGCTTGTCAAAATATTCACGAGTGTAAAATTGTATAATAAATTCACAAATATGGTCTAAATAATTGTAACTTAGGTTCTCACATGGACAAGCAAAGTTTTCAAAAGAAAATTAGGTGCAAATAGAAATTGATCATAGCTCATGAATTAACAACAATTTTAAATATCAAAGCATCCTAAGCCAGAAAGGCTATCTATTATACCAACCAAAATCATATCTAGATAAGGATAATATTTCATCAACTCCCCAAACTTAGATTGCACATTGTTCTCAACATGTATAAAAAGAACAATATAAAACAGAAACAGGGTGGATAAACTTTTTCTTTTATATGTTTATTGAAGGATGCTTGTAACGAACTTGGATTTGTGACCTTCTTGTACACAATTTACCCCCAAACTTGTTGAGAACCATAGGCGGCTAATACTTCAAAAAAAAAATTTACCTACAAAAAATGGTATCTACTCAAAAATATGAAATTGAAAGAATAACTCGCAAATAAATTTCAAAATAAAAAGATAAAGGATAAGAAAATTTGGTTGCCTTCCAACAAGAGCTTGTTTTAAAGTCTCTAGCTCGACTTTGAGGCGTGATCACTCTGGGTTGGCTAGAAGAATGCATGACTTCTTTTTCGAAAAATCACCTCCCAGGTATGGTTTTACTTGTTGCCCATTAATCTTGAAGTTCCCATTTTCGTAATGAAAAAGCTCAACAAATCCATGTGGAAAATTTTTTGCAATAGTAAAGGTCCCAACTACCAGAGCGAAGTTTTTCAGGGAACAACAAGAGTCCAGAATTGTAGAGAAGAACTTGTTGTCCAAAAAAAAAAAAAAAACTCTCACTCAAATGTGCATATAATGCAACTTGCTTTTTTGTCTTCTCTTTGTAGATCCAAGTACTTTTATTGGAATTAAGGTGGAGTTTATCAAGTTCATTCA